GGATCCATTGCCGGACACGAAAAAAGACGAAAAGGAAAAAAAAAAAAAAAAAAAGCTGTAGTGTAGAGGTTAAGCACCTGTCCCTAGAGCACACTGCCTGCGTTAAGATCCCAGTTCTACTGATTATTAGCTGTGTGACCTTTGACAGGAGTTTTTCTGTTCTTTAACATCTTTGTGCCACAGTTTTCTTATCTGTATATGAGAATAATATACTTTATATTATTAATATAAATATATATTATATAAATACAATAAAATACCTTATAGGGTTGTTATGAGATTTAGATACGCTAATATGTGTAAAGCACTTAGAATAGTGCCTGTTACGCACTAACAATAGTTCAATTTATGAGAACTTACGATTAGCCAGTATGATTCGTATTAAAACACAAAGAGGACCAAATGACAGGTTTGTGGGCCTGATGTAGCCCATGGACTGCCATTTTGCAGCCCTTGATCCCCTGAGGTTAGGGGGGAAAGCAAGGCCCACAGAGGTTATATTCAGCTAGTTAGAGGCTGAGTTGTCAATGGGATCCAGGTTCTTCCCACTCCACTGCACTGCGTCCCTTTTAGTGAAAAGAGAGGGTCCCCAGGAGGGGCAGCAACTTGAGTTGAGAATGGATGGATGAAGTGTCGTGTCAAGTATTCTGCTTGGTAAACATGTAAGAAATAGAATTTGCCATTTACATAAATTAAGAATACATGCACACAAAAGGACAATTCAGATGTTTCAAGGACTCTGCAGACAAAGGATACATTTCAAATCCATCAGAGTGGTTTTGCCTATGCAAGAAAGAGGAAGGAGAGTGGGATGTGGAGATGAAATCGAATAAAGAAAAGAGGAGTGGGGCCTGGCACAGACCACTGATAATGTGCTATGAACTAGGAATGGGATTAACTCAACCTCCACCTGAATCTCTCTTCCCCCATTTTTCTCCCCCCAAAAGGCAGAACGGCCTCCTTCCCACCTCCTTCTCCCACTCCAGTCCTGTGGTCCATATGACCGGGCATATTGTCTCCTAGGTACGAAGAGAATCTGCCCTCCAAGTGTTTGACCAAGCACAAGGACCGGCTGAAGTCCCCCACCTCCCTGAATGGCCGGCGCTGGGTATTTGTGAGAAAGGGGCTGGATGACTTCAGGAAAGGCTGCCCCCTGCCCTGCAAAGGCCTCATCACTCGGGGCCCTGAGGAGGGCTTTCTGCCCCGGATTTATCACAGAGCCCCGCGACCTGCCCCAAAGAAGAGGCAGAACAAGTTGCCCAAGGAAGCAGCCCTGTCGTCCAAGCTCTCGTCAGCCCAGCGGGCCCGGGAGGCGTTCCTCCAGGAGGTGGCAGCCTGCCTGACCCCGCACCCCTTGGCTCTCTACCCGAATCTGCAAGAAGCTATGCCTGAAGAGGTGATCTGTCCTGGGGCTTGTGGGAGGGCCTTCACTGGGGCCCTGAAATACTTCTCTCTAGATGCCTATGGAGTCCCCTTGAGGGGGTGACATGCTTATAAGGAGGAGAGAAGCTTGTCTCCCCCAGGGTGAGGATCTCATGGGGCTTAGAGCAGCCTTCCCCTCTCTGCCCCCAGGAGACACGAAGGACAGCAACATACAAGCTGCTCCTTCTCCTTCCCAGGAAGCTGTTCATTGTGTGAAGGTACCGCAGACCAGAAACACGTGACTTCTCTCCCCTCGAGTTCTACCACTCCACTCTGCGTTGTGACTTTTTTGGGGGGAGAAAACAGTGGGAGGTAATTGTTCGGTCTTATACTTCTGTCTGTTTAGCCTGGCGTAAGGAGGTGTCCTGTAATACTAACAGATGGAGAGAATGAGTGTGGGAACTGGAAAGGTGGGGACAATCCACCACATCGTCAAGGTTAGGCTTGGGCAGCGGCTCTGTAATGGCACCAGCGGCCCAGGCTGCTTCTGACATTCAGCTGCATAATCCTAAGCATATGTCTCTTGTCCTTGTATCTCAAAATATCTCCACACCTCCAGGCATCGAGTGTGTCTTTCAGCCAAGAAAGTGGGAGGCAAAAGTGAAAGAGTCCTTGGCAGCTGACTCTGTCTTTTGATTAGGCTTTCCCAGTAAACATCTCATTCGTCTGACCACACCTAGCTGCTGGGGAGTTTAGAAAATTGTTTCTTAGTTGGGCATTACAGCCTTGAACAAAAGCTAGGTTCTGTTAGATTTAAGAGGAAAGGGCAGAATGGATATTGGGCAGGAAACTAGGAGTGCCTGCTGCTCCACCCCCACCCCTGCAGCCCGTTCCCTACACAGTGAGCAAGACGGTGGTTCAGAAAGGTAGACTGATTATGTCACTCCTCTGCTGAAAGCCCTCCACTGGCCCCTTTTCATGCAGATAAAGCCAAAGTCCTTGTCGAGGTCTGAGAGGCCCTGCACGTTCTGCTCCCCACCCCGCCCCTGCAAGAATGTTACAAATATGTCCAGTTCCAGTCTCTGTTTTTGTGCCTGGAACACTTGCCCCCAGGTGTCTGCTTGGCTTCCTCCTTCACTTCCTTCAGACCCTTGCTCAAATGTCCCCTTATTGGAGAAGCCTGTATAAAGTAGCCCTCCCCTTCACCCTCATTCTCTGTCCCTCACCGTGCTCTGCTTTTTATCTCAGTGCTTGTCACCACTGGGCTCCTCACTAGAATAAAAGCTCTACACGGGCAAGGACTTTATCTCTCTCTTTCTCCGTGTACCATCAATACCTGGCAGATGGCAGACACTCAACAAATATTTTTGAATGAATGAATAAGGGATCAGTGGCAGAGAAGTCTGTAGAAAGGACAGCTAGAATTGCTGATTAGTTATTTTCTCCCCGGGGCTTTGCTTCACTGCCTCCTGCAGGCCAGAGCTTCTGAGTCCATGACAAAGAGATTGTTTCCAGACACCTCAAGTGGACATTAACATGGCTTGGGATTGTGGCTCTTATTTCCTTTTCCTGTCTGACCTCCCCAAGTAGGTGTGCACTGTTGGCTTCTTTCTGAGGCAAGATCACTTATTGGGCTAAGATGGCCACCAGCAGCTCCAGGTTTAAATTCTACCCACTTAGCAACCGGGCAGAAAAAGAACACCATTTTTTTGCATGGTTCCAGCAAAATTCCACTGCCTAATTCCCATGGGTCTGATTTGGGTCATGTGTCTATTCCTAAGCCTGTCACTGTGGTTCTGATTGGCCTGGCCAGCCTGTGGCATGAGGATGGGGTCGGGCCAGTTTAGACCATGTGGGTTGACAGTGGAGGGAGAAGTGACTCTCCAAAGGGAAGTCTAGTTTCTGTTATTCATGGGAGGAAGGACGGATGCCGGACAGTCAAGACCCACAGAAATCCTTTAGAGGTGCTTTACTCAGTGGGGCATTTAGGGACTGGGGCAGGCCCAAAGCCGTGATCCACCTAGAGGAGGTGGGACTTGAGCACAAAGGCTGTATCCCTAATATCTAGGTGATGGGGGGGTTCATCCATGGCACCCGGCACAGTACTTGGCACAGAAATTGGTGAACAGCATTGATCGACTGAAAGGGAAAAGCAAAAGGACAAGTTGGTGGGTTATGGTTTAGAATAGGGGCCCCCTTTTTCAGCACATTTTTCTTCCCCTCTCAGGCTATTTTCTGTTTGTAGCTCCTATTAAAGGTGCTGGAAGAACTTGATCCTGACAGGAAGCTGGAGGACATGTGGGCTTATTGTCAGGACACCAGGAAAAGAATGAAGGAGCAAACAAAGCTTTTAAAGAAACGTTCTACCCAAGTCTACTTGGGACCATGAGTATTGTTCTCAGCCCCTCACTCAGGGCTGTCACCTGATGAAACACCCCAAGAATGACCTTCTCAAAGATTTTCATCTTTTTTTTTTTTAAGAAGCAAAAGGAACTCATTTCCCAGGGAGGAAGAAAAGGAGTCCTGGGTCCCATTCTGAATATCTGAATACTGCTTATTTCTTAATTGGATGCAATTTATCCAGCAATGGCGCTAACACAGGTGTCTCTATGACTCTTCTGGACAGGAGGAAAACTGCCAAAAACATGGTTAATTGGCCTGTAATGGCTCTTTGAATTATCTATGGCAGAAGCCCTTTTATTCAACATGGTTGAGGCCAGTTGTTGGTTGAATAACCAAAAAGAAAAAAAACAAACAAACAAACAAAAAAAAAAAGGGTATTGGGGATTGTAAAAAACGATACTAAAGTACTTGAAACATTTTATTTCATCCTAAAGCATAATTGTACATTCGTTAGTCTTTTAATGCAGAGCCTTTTTTGGGTATGACTCTACTGCTTGTATAAACCACACCAATAACACCACCTTCACGGAGCCTTTCCAAAGCAGTAAGCTTAATAGAAACATCTGGCCTGGCCGCTTAGCTCAGTTGGTTAGAGCATGGGGCTGATGACACCAAAGTGCAGGGTTCAAAGTGCTGAGCCTGTACTGGCTCAGCAGCCAAAAAAAAAAAGAAAAAAGAAACATCTCTTTTTGTATCACGTTCTTGTTTCCCCAATTCGTATATCATATAATTAAATAATGTAAATGCAATGATTAGTACACTTAACATAAATAGATTTGGGATACACATTTGACTTCTGAAACGTAGTGACCTCACAGGTGGGTGTTGAAGGCTGGGGTGTGCTGGAGCAGCCCATTCATGGCCCACGGGGACATTGACAGGGGTGTGGGCGGGCCAGTGTGATTGGTAGGGCATGTGGAGAGCTTTGCTGGTCACACGAGTTACCTACATGGAGCTGGATGAAGAGAGAATCCACGGTGTGAAATTATATGTGTTTCTTAGGGTGAGACCCAAGGGGAGGGAAATACACTGTTGTCTACCCCTGGTAAACTTGGGGAGAGCAACTGGGCATGCTCATCTCAGCCCTGCCCTTCATCCAGCTGGGAGCAAGATGGCCCGTGGGAAGCACAATTTCTCCTTGTTCCTCCATTCTAGAGGGGAGGCGCACTCCAGCCCTGGTCCAGCCCTGCTGGGGACTGGGTGGGAGAGGCTGCCAGTTGCTGGATTTCAGTGAGCAAGTCCTCTTGGTCCTGAAGCCATGTTCTCCATCATTGCAGCTGCTATTCATAAAGGTGATATTTTGGATGTCGTCTTTGTTCTTTGTTTTATTTTTGAACTTGCTCAGAAACTGGGTAGGGAAAAGAGATGAGTAATATATATATGTCTTCCCACCCCCATCCACCACACGCAGTATAGTTACTGCAATGAGCTTGGGCTTCTATACAATACAGGATCTGCCTTTCACTTTTGGCAGTTTCCTTGGTCAACGCTGCAGAAATCTCCAAGGCCAGGATTACAAATGAATGGGTTATCTATTTGAAAGAGGAAGAGGTAAAAGTACAGAGGGAATGAACAATATTGACATCTTAATAAATTATCATTTCATCTCACAGAATAAATATGTAATTACATAATGGTGAGTTTTTCTGTCAATATACGTATTAGTTTCTTGTGGTTGCTGTAACAATTTAACATAAACTTGGTGGATTAAAACAACAGAAATTTATTATTTCACAAGTTCTGGAGGCCAGAAGTCTGAAATCAGTATCACTGCGCTGAAATCAAAGAGTCAGCAAGGGCCGTTCCTCCCAGAGGCTCCAGGGGAGAATCCATTCCTTGCCTCTTCCAGTTTCTGGTGGCTGCTGGCATTTCTTGGCTTGTGGCCATATCACTCTGTCTTCAAGGTCACAGATCTCTCTCTGCTCTGTCTTCACATCACCTTATCGTGTGTGTGTGTGTGTGTGTGTGTGTGATCTCCCTCTGCCTCTCTCTTATAAAAATACTTGTGATGGCATTTAAGTCTCACTCAGATAATCCAGGATAATCTCCCCATCTCAGATTTCTTAACTTAATCATATCTGCCAAGACTCTTTCCAAATAAAGCAACACTCACTGATTCCAGGTATTAGCGCCTGTTCTCTCTGGGGGCCATTGTCAACCTACCACTGCATGAGGTGTTATCTCCCATCTTTAAACCAACTCTCCTTGACTGGATTGTCTCTCCTTTCCTTTAGAACAAAACTCCTTATAAAAGGCACTCCTACTCACTGTCTTCTTTTTTTCTCTCTTGAACTCACAGCAATCAGGCCATCTCCAGCTTTTCACTGAACCTGCCCTTAGTCAAAGTCACCATTGACCTCCATGTTACTAAGTCAGTTCTCAGTGATTACCGTACTTGATATATCAGTAGCAATTGACACAAGTAATAATGTCCTTTTTCTCATAACACTTTCTTCACTTGGCTTCTGGAATGTTCCTCTTTCTTGGACCTCCTCCTCCTTCATGGGCTTCTCCTTAGTCTTCTTTTACTGGTCCCTGTTCACCTTCCTTTTAACCTTGAAGCGCATCAGTTTCTGACATCATTTTGTACATTTACTCACATGAAGTGACCTAATTCAGTCAATCAGTATATGGATAATTTAATATTTCCCCTTGGATGTATAATTGGCATCTCACACTGGACAAGTCCAAAACTACACTCTTGATTTCTCCCCTACATCTGTTTCTCCTCTGTCTTTCCCAGCTTAGGAAATAACAATCCCTTTCTTCCAGTTGCTTCTGGAAGAATAGTTGCAATCTTCCAACAAATCTTAATGACTTTACCTTGGAAATATATCCAGAATCTCACCTTCTAATATACTACCAGTCTTTCTATATATATTCTTAGTATCGTACCATTCTATTCCAAGTTACCATCATCTCTTGCCTGGATTATTGCAACAGCTTCTTAACTGGTCTCATGGCCTCTATTCATGTTCCCTTCTCTCAAGTCTGTTTGTCACACAATAGCTAAAATTATTCTTTTAAAAACAACTCAGGCAGTGTCAATCGTGTGCTCAAAATTCTTCAATTAGTTACTTACTCAGAGTAAAATCCAAAGTCCTTACATTTGTCTCTAAGGTCCCATATGCTCAGGTCCTTGTTACCTCCCAGGCGTCACCCTATACTTCATACTATTTAGTCAGTCCTCTCCAGTCACGCTGGCCTCTTTGCTGTTCCTTGAACATGCTCAGCACACTCTCCGTGCCAGGGCCTCTGTACATGCTATCCTTTTCTGCGTGATATCTGCATGGTTTGATATTCGCACAGTTTGATCCCTTTCTTCTTTTGAGTCTGTGCTTAAATATCACTTTAGTAGAGAGATCTTCTCCATAAATAAAATGCCCCCTGCTGTCACTCTCCATCCTTCCTGCCATATTTTCTCTTTATCTCACTTATAATCACCTGCATATTTTTGTTTACCTCTTTTCTGTCTGTCTCTCTTACTAAATTGTAGGACAGCTCTATGAGGAAAGGGACTTAACTTTATATACAGCTGAATCCTAATACCTAATGCCTGGCACATTGTTGGTACTCAATAAATATTTGTTGAGTGAATGAATGGATAAGTTAATACATGAGTGCTATAAATTAAAGATACAGGATGCTATGAATAAAAGGTGGGTGTAGGGGAAAGCCTGTGGGAATAGGTCCCTGAGGAAGGGACATGTATGTTGAGACATGAAGGGGCATGAGGAAGTGCAAGCACTGCAGTCAGAACAGCATGTGCAAAGGCCCTGTGGCTGGAGGGAGCATGAGGAATTCATGGGACCGAGAGAAGGCCACTATGGCTGGAGCACAGAGAGTGAGGGACGGTGGTAGTTCCAAAACTTGGAGACACAGGCAGGGGTCAAGCCATGAAGAGCCTTGGAGGCTGTATTAAGATTTAAGCCTTTATTGGAGGAGTAGCAAGAAGCTATTGAACACAAGATGTGCAGATGAATGCCCACAGCAGCATAATCCCTCATAGCCAAAATGTGGCAGCAGCCCAAATGTCCATCAACTGGTGAATGGATAAACAAAATGTGGTATATCCATACAACAGAATATAATTTAGCCATAAAAAGGAATAAACTACTGATACATGCTACAGCATGGATGAGCTCTGAAAGCATTATGCTAAGTGAGATAAGCCAGACACAAAAGACCGTATATAATATGGTTCCATTCAGATGAAATGTCCAAAATAGTCAAATCCATAGAGACAGAAAGTAGATTAGTGGTTGCCGGGAGAGGGGACAGGAGAGATATGGAGAGTGACTGTGAATAGTTATGAGGTTCCTTTTGGGGTAATGGAAATGTTCCAGAACTAGATAGTGGTGATGGTCCCACAAGTTTGTAAACAAGATGTGAAAAAGCCAATAAATTATACACTTTTGAAATGGTAAATTTTAATGATATGTGGATTATATCTCAATTTTTAAAAAGAAGCTAATGAGAAGGCTTAATCAATTGAGGATGAAAGGTAGCTGCATTTGATATGCCCAGATTTACATTTTGAACTGAGCACTATGGCCACAGTGTAGAGAATGGATTAGGAGTTGAGGGGCCATAATTGAAGACACAGAGACACTAGCGAGGAACCTTTTGCAACGGAAGGAGAGTAGGAGACATCTCTCAGACTTATTAATGGGATGAATTTTAGGGATAAAAGAGAAAAATCACAGATGTTTCCTACTTGTGGATTATCCGAAGCTTTGGTAGATTTCTTTTTTTTTTTTTTTGTCTTTTGTCTTTTTCCGTGTCCGGCAACGGATCGCAACCCTCAGTGTTGCCCCCGTACCGGACCGGGACCGGCAACAGGATCGCAACCCTCGGTGTTGCTCCCGCGCCTCGCTCAGCCAGTGAGCGGGAACCGGTCCGTATGTGGGATCTGAACCCTCGGGCGGGAGCGCTGCCGCGCTTCCCAAGCGGCGCACTATCCAGTGCGCCACCGGGCCGGCCCAGAAGCTTTGGTAGATTTCAAGCACATTAATTTGGGCTTTTACCTGGTACCTGTCTTAATAAATGGTACTCATAATTTTAAAAGTCAACTTATAACTATAAAATGCAATATAGGTTTTAATTGTTATAACTAATCATGATATACTTGTCTTTATGATATTGATAATGGGAATGCAGTCTTGGAAAAATTGAAATATAATTTATATGAGCTTGCAAGAGAGTGTTAGAGATATATCTATTGATATCTGTGGGGGACTGGTTCCAGGATCTCCTGCTGATACTAAAATCCACAGATGCACAAGTCCCTGATATAAAATGGTGTAGTATTGGCATATAACCTAGGCACAGCCTCCTGTACACTTTAAATCATCTATAAATTACTTATAATACTTAATACAATGTAAATACTATGTAAATAGTTGTCCTACTATCTTGTTTAGGGACTAATGACAAGGAAAATAGTCAGTACATGTTCATTATAGACGCAACTTTTTCCTCCCAAACATGTTCAATCTGCAGTTGGTTGAATCCACGGATGCAGAACCCATGGATACAGAGGGCCAACTGTACTTACTTTATGGTCTCTTTTCCCCCATGATACTGTTAGAAATCCACTTTGATTCATTGTGCCTCATATTGTAATTCTTTGATGATCTCATTATCTTTAGTCCCAAGAAGACTCCTGTGTCACATTCAGGCCAATGGCTTTATAAAGAGCTGCCAATTAAAATGGATTTGCTCCATGAAGAGTGTCCTCTTCTTCATGAAAATATACGCAAAGGTGTTAGTGACTTCTGCAACTGGGTTACTTCTGTGGTAGTAATACTTAAACCTACTTTGAAAAGTCAAACTCAAATTTGCCTTTATTAAAAAACAGGGTTTGGATAAAATCTAAGTCAAATCATCAAAGTCATAAAGGAATCATTCTCTCCCACCATTTGTAATAGAAATGTTTCTGGTAGATGAAATTTCTGGAAAGTTTGAAAGCTTACAGCTAATTTGAATGCGTATGTTTATATGTCACATCATGGCTGTTATGTTTCATTTCAGTGTCAGAACCTTCTTTCCTCTCTGTCCTTCACTCCTTCAACTCATTTTTTTTCATTTATACTTAAGTGTAATGTGTAGCTATGCGTAACTATAATCTTCACCAAAAGCTTCTCTGATATAAAGAGAATTTTGACTCAGTGCCAAGATCTTCCTTGCCTTCCTTCCAAGAGCCTACTTAGTTACCAATTCCTGTTCCTGAATCTCTGTAGATGTCCAGATTCCTGATGCTTTTTTTGGATTTAAGACCCTCAAGTATTCTCATTGCCTCCACCCAGTTTTTTTTTTCTTTTATCATATTAGTCAGTTTTAGTCAATCTATTATTTAGTACTATTTCATTAGCAAGTGGCTGAAATATAATTCAGACTGATTTAAGGGAGAAAAGAGAATCATCGAGAAATATTAGGAGTTCAGGCATAGCTGGATCCAGGTGCTGAAATGTTTTTAGTTTCCCTATCTCTTGCCTGTGCTCCTCTATCTGACTTCATTTTCAAGCAGTCTTTCCCCAAGAGATGCCAAGATAGCCACTAAAATTTCCAAGATTGCATCCTACCAGCAAGCAACCTAAGTGGGAAGAGAGCAACCCTTTTTCAACAGGGAGAAGGCCAGGACTTACTTTTGCTGGACTAACTTGAGGAGGAGATGGAATATGCCCATTGGCTAGGCCAGGTCACATGTCTAACCCTGAAGCCATGAGGTGAGGAGTGCCCAGCCCAGCTGCAACTAATGACTGAGACTGGGGGAGGGAGGGTCCCAGAGGGTGATCGGAGTAGGGATGGCAGACAAGGCAGATGATGCCCGCTCCACCTGGTGCCTGAACCACTGCTTGTCCACAATCTGGCTGGACTGGATAGCCTGATTCCCCATCCTTCCACTTCTGCCATTCCTACTGCTGGAGACTATTCCTCTACCTAGACAGGACATTTAAGGAACCTAAGGAGAGTAGTTTAGCTGCTCTGGGAACTGGCCTCATTTTTAGTCCCTCATCATCAAGGTCCTATCATTACCTAAATTCTGCATCCCAGGTCCCTGTTGCATCGCCCTGTGGTATTTTCTTCACAGCACTAGCTTGTACTTTTCCTTGCATGCTGTTTATTTTTCTCCTCATGGATGCTGCGTGCTCCATTTCTGCTTTGCTATTATTTCAGCCTGGTTTTGACTCTACTCATTCCCTCATCCCCTAGCTCTACTCCATAACGTCTCTCTATTAGTTCCACTCCACCTTCAGCTCCAGCTGCTCATAGCCTCATTCTCTCTGTTTCCCAATTTCTATGTTCCAAAGTGGGATTCCACTGAGTCTAATTTATCTTTTAGCATTGAGCCATTTCTTTGGTCAGTGGTCAGCCTGTGCATTAATTACTCTCAGTGCACCCATCTCTGCTACAACCAGCTGTGGCTGGGAGGAGGAAATGGAGAGGGTTGGTTTGTGTACAAACTATGGTGACTAAACCTGCCTCCTTCAGCAGGAGCTGTGAACAGGACAGCTTCCCTTGTAAGGGGCTGTGGGCAGAACACACACTGATACGTCTAGACAGGTATGGAAAATGCCTAGGGATGTCACTGCTATAAAGTACTGGAGGAATTTGCTTTTGATCAAACAGATTGAATTTCCCTCGGGCCTATTATTTTCCGCAGGGACTCCCTGCTCCTTGCATGTCCTAAGCTGTCTCTTAATGTACTGGTGATGCCCTCCAGACCTCAAATCCTTCTTGTCTCCAGTGAATGTTGACTGAACATTTTCTTCCTTTCCTCCAAACTATGTCTTCCCTTACAATGGTCAAATTCCTCCCTTGGGTTAAAGAAGAAAGCAAGGGGCTGTTCACAGTTTGTCCTTGGTTCATGCAATGTGATACTCTTCCAGGGAAGCTCGAACATTGATGAAGACTTCATCCTGAAGCAGTTTGACATTGACTATCAGAGCAAACCAAGGCATGACATGCTCCACACCGTGAGGCTAAACCAGGTTCCTCTGGAGCTAAAGTGTGGCAGGGGGCTACATAAACCCCAGGAGCCAGAATTCTTCCAGAAACTAGACTACAAGAGGAAACTCCAGAAACCACAGGTAACCGTAGAAGGGGAGAAGACTGAAAATCAGAGAAAATTAAGTTCTATTAAAGTCATAAATGTTCTTGAATTCTGGTACTTCAGGGAGCATTTACCTTTTTAAGTGGAACTCTTGAAGTTTTTTCATGTTTAATAAATTTTTGTTGAATTAATGAATATTTAATACGTATAACAAAGTCAGTTATTCAAACAAGACATGTCATTCAGAATTATTGTTAATATCTGAATAGTCATTTTCAGAGACCACCTTTCCATGTGTTTTATATGTTGAAAGTCTAACAGTCAGTGGAAATATACATGAATGTTTATTATTGCAAGAGTAAAGTGCTGCAATTAATGACTGTGAACACTGTTACTTTTATGTCCAAATAATTCTTGAATTTTTACTGGAACCTTATTGACCACAAACCATCATTCTTGACCACATGCTTGCCTAAGCATTGACAAATTGCTCAGTTTCCTTAGCTCCAAGTTGCTGTGAAATGGAAGAACAAGGTAACAGAAAGGATAAGTAACATGCTATGTTCCAAAGGGAAATACTGTGGGCCTCTAGCATACTTTTGTGCTTTTCTACACAATGTGTCACTGAAAATAGGTATACATAATAAGTCAAATCATGCCAGTCAACGGCAGACTTAAGTGCCTAAGTTGAGGGGGTGAGGGGTTCCTTTCCTTGAAAATGAAAACAGTACGTTATTTCTAATTACCCTCTGCCTTTTACATCTAATCTTTGATATTATATTTCCAATATTTTGGACAAATTAATTTTGTCCTTTACAATTGAACACAATTGACCAACCTATTTTGACATGTGTCATGTTTCTACCCTTGACTCCATTGCATGAGGATTATGAGAACTACGCATTACATCTGTAATATTAATTTTTCCATTTTTCTCTCATCTTTCTAAAAGGTAAAATGCAAAATGATGCTAGATAGGTAGTTATGCTAATTACACCTGAGGCCTGAGCCACTGCTTCTCCTGAATCGGGGCTAAATCAAATCTCTCAGTTTCCTGTACTTACCAATGATTGTGCAAACACTGCTTTGTAAACCGTGGTGGGTACTGCCAAAATGAACTTTTGACTGGCAGACGGAGGATCACTAAGCAAAAGTTCAAAATATATTTCCACATGGTATCATTTTTCTTCCGCCTGGAAGACTTCCTTTATTCTTTCTTCCATGTGAATCTGCTGATTATGATTCTTTCAGCTTTTGTGTGTCTGAAAATACCCTTAATCTGCCTTCATTTTAAAAAGTTGCTTTCTGGGCATAGCATGCTAGGTTCACAGTTTTTAAATTTTATGATTATTTTTATTTTAGTACTTCGAAGATGTTGCTTCACTGTCTTCTTGGTTGTATCATTTCTGATGAGAAACCTTATGTCCTCCTTACCTTTGTTTTTCTGGATGTTCTTTTTTCCTTGGCTGTTTTGAAGATATTCTCCTTGTCACTGGTTTTGAGCAGTTGACTGTTATACACCCGGGTGTATATTTCTTCCTGTTTCTTGTACTTAGGATTTGTTGAGCCTCTTTGATCTGTGGGCTTATAGTTTTTATCAAATATGGAGAAATTTTCACCACTATTTCTTCAAATTGTTTTTTTGTCTTTCAGCTCGTCAGGACCATAATTACTCGTAATTAGGCTCCTTGAAGTTGTCTCACAGCTCACTGCTGCTCTGTTCAGTTCTTAAATTCTGTTTTCTTTCTGTGTTTTTATGGCTATGTCTTTAAGCTCTCTAATCTTTTTCTCTGCAATGCCTAATCTGCTGTTAATCCTATCCAGTATATTTTTTTATCTCATACATTATAATTTTCATATCTAGAAGTGTTACTTGGGCCTTTTTTCAAATATCTGTGTCTCTATTTACTCTTTTGAACATATGGAATATAGGTATACTAACTGCTTTCATGTCTTTACCTGCTAATTCTAACATCTGTATCAGTTCTGTGTCAGTTTCCATTAATTGATTTATCTCCTCACCTTGGGTCATGCTTTCTTGCATCTCTGCATAGCTGGTGATCTTTGATAGATGCTAGGCATTGTGAATTCTACCTTACTTGGTGTTGGGTATTTTTGTATTCCTGCAAATTTTTTTTTTTTTTTTTTTTAAAGATGACCAGTAAGGGGATCTTAACCCTTGACTTGGTGTTGTCAGCACCACACTCACCCAGTGAGCTAACCGGCCATCCCTATATGGGATCCGAACCTGCGGCCTTGGTGTTATCAGCACCGCACTCTCCCGAGTGAGCCATGGGCCGGCCCTATTCCTGTAAATATTTTTGAACTTTGTTCTGGGATGCAATCAAGTTACTTGGAAAAGTTTGATCTTTTGGGGTCTTGCTTTTAAGATTTGCTGGAAAAGACCAAAGGTAATGTCCTGTCTAGAGCTAATTACTCCCTACTGTTGCGGCCAGCCCCTTCTGTGTATTCTACCCAGTGTCCTGTGGATCTTTAGGTTTTCCAGAAGGATGATGGCATGGTTCCTGGCCCTCTTTGAGTGCCAGGCACTTTACCCTCTAATCCTTTTGGTTGGTTCTTTCCCTGACCTCAAGTTTCCTCCCACACGTGCACAGAGGGGGACCTGCTGCAAACCTTTGGAGTTCTCTCTCTGTGCAGCTCTCTCCTTTCTGTTACTCTGGGCTGCAAACTTCAGCTGCCTTGGTCTCTGATAGAGTTTGGATGTGTTGTCCCTGCCAAAACTCATGGGGAAATCTGATCCCCAATGTGACAGTGTTGGAAGCTGTTTTAGTCATGGGGTGGATCCCTCATAAATGGATTAATGCTCTCCTTGCGGGTGAGGGTCCTGAGAGAGATCTCACTCTATTAGTTCCCGTGACAGCTGGTTGTTTAAGAGACCCTGGCACCTCCTCTCTTCCTTTCTCTTGCTTCCTCTCGCCAGGTGATCTACTTGTACCTGCTGGCTGCCTGCTGCTTTCCATGAGTAGAGACAGCCTGAGGCCTGCACCAGATGCAGCTGTCCCAGAATCGTAAGCCAAATAAACCTCTGTTCTTTATAAATTACCCAGTCTCGGGTATTCTGTTATAGCAACACAAATGGACTAATACAGTCTCCCTGGACTCGTTCTGTCTCCTCCACTCAGAGTCCTCTGGTCTTCTCCTCCCTGTACGTGGCCTGCAGATTCTCTCAAGGCAATGAGCAGGGGCAATCTCGATGGTGGCTTGTCATTCAGGGATGACTGTCCTTTGTTACCTGATGTCCAATGTCTTGCAAACTGTTAGTTTATGGTTTTTTTTTTCTTCTTCTTTCTGTTCTTTAGTTGTTGTCAGTGGAAGGACAAATCTAGTCCCTATTCTGGAAGTGGAAGTCTTTATCTGTATTTTTTTACTCCACATACTCTCAGACCTGTTACACTCTGTTCTTCGGTATTTTTCTGTGAAACTTTGAGCTCTCCCATGACCTTAGCTTTGCTTACAATATTCTCTCTGCCTGGGGTGCACCTCTTCCCCATGTCCACACGCTCTTTCTTTAGACACAGGCATATGCCGATTTATCCATTGAGTTTTTCCAGGTCCCTTGGCTGATATTAGTTTATTATACTCTCTCACAGCATTGTGTGCCTCTATTTTAGCATATCTTTCTTTGCCCTGTATATTAACTCATCCAGTTGTTTATGCATTACTTCAACAATCATGTCTGAATATCTACTACTATGTGTCCAAAAGTGCTCAGAGCAAAAATGGAGTACTGCTTCCGGCACTTAAGGAGCCTACAGTCTAGTGGGGTCAACAGGTAAATGATTAACTATAACAAAGTGATGTCATGGTGTGAACAGGGCAGAGGAAGAAGTAATCAATTCCACCAAGCACAGGGCGAGGCAGGGTCAGTAAAGATTTCACAGAAGAAATTATATTTGTGCAAGTCCTGAAAATCACCAGTCACCCAGCAACATAGTGTATTCTCCTTCCTCTCCCTCACCCCCTCTTCCCCTCTCTTTCCTTCCCTCCTCCTTTTAATTCAGTGGTTCTCAATTGAGAGTGATTTTGCCCCCCAGAGTTATTTGGCAATGTCTAGGGATGACAATTCTGGTTGTCACAACATGGGGGGTGCTTCTGCTTTCGTAAGCTAAACCTTAGATTTATTGAAATGACAAACCAAAAAAACTAATGACATTGGGAATTATGTCACTTACTATAGAATCCTCATAAGCCAAAGTGGGTGAAGATGCGGTATGGAGCATGGTATCTGAACACCAGGCTGTGGAAAAAGCAAAGAGCAGATGAACCTTTGGTTGACCCCAAGGTCTCACATAAAGCTCAAGATGAGAATTTTAAGAAGGATCTGCAGAAACAGGTATGTATATATGCTGAGATTTGGTCATGTGAGCTAAAGGTGATCACAGTGCATCTCCCACCCTCTTACTGAAGCCAGAGTCCCTGGAGTAACACAGAGGCTGCCGGAAGCCTTACAGCATGTGTTAATACGTGAGACTTGAAATCTCCTGGCTTCATGGTAGCCACAGTGTCTCTAAAGATGAGATGACCACTCACGGTACTCCTACCATTCTTGGGACAATTGATTCAATGGATATTGTTCAAACGGTGGTGTGGCCACCTCAGTGCTCAGAATGGATATGCTTTCATGGGTTCTCTTTGGGTAAGTAAATGTGAAGCTTATTACTTATCAGCAATGGATGAATGTCAGAAAATTCAAAATTGCAACCAGCAAATTTCTTTTGTGCAGTCCAGCTGAGTTGCAGAATCTGTCTGAGAGGAAAGGGACAAAGGTTAAGAACTGTTTGATGTTGCAAAGCAACGAACATGCACAACAAGGATGTGCTCTAATTTTACTACAAGTAAACTCTGTGCTTGCTCATCTCTTGTGTACTAGTGTCTAATGGGAAGAAGATTCTCACCGTAGTCCTGAAATTTGGAAGTATTGACACAACACTTGCACAGGACTCTGATGAGAATGTTTATGAACTTCTTTTTCTCAACAGATCCAAAACTTCTCCCAGATAACAAGTGCGAAAATGCTTTGAAAAAATAAAATACTATAAAAATTTGGCTTATCATTTGTCAGTTATCATTCATAAATTGCCTTCTTTAGATTGGAAAGCTAAGACAGGAAGGATGGTCATTTTTATCTTTTCCAGTACTTGGTATAAATTCTTATTTTCAGGTGTGAGGTCTGACACAAATTTATGAGTACAACATGCTTATAAACACCTCAAAATAATATAAAAAATGTTTAGCAGAGTTTCTTGGCATATAGGTTTTTTGGAGCTGCTTGTCTAAGTTTATGTGAATTTAATACACAACATAAAACTGTCACAGTTGCACTTTTAAAAAAGTAACAAAATTTTCTCAATGAATTAAATATTTAAAACAAAAATAGCTACAAACTTTTACTTCAAGGTATCTAGAAGTTCTCTTTTTAAAAAATATATATGTTTTTTGGCAGTTGGCCAGTATGGGTATCCAAACCCTTGACCTTGGTGTTATAAAAATATATTCTTAAAGACTTAAAGAATTTTACAAAACATATTTCGTTTTGATGGCAAAATCTAATAAAGATGTTTGCCAAAATGGTTACAGTAAGCTAATGAAAAAGTAGTTTCACTTAAATTTTGGAAATATGGTTAATATAGCTATTATAGTAAAAGATTGCTTATCTTGCTGGGAACTCATGAGTTTTGACTATTCCTGGTTGATTTGGTATGGAGCGTGAAATGGTCTTAAAGTACTGAATTGCAGTTATGTAAGCTTATACATTCAGTTTTTAAATTCAGCCAAATAAAAAGAAAAATCAAAAGGGTGCATGAATATTGAGAAGATGTGGGACTGGATCAAGTCTTTTTTGGTTGTCATGCCCTTTAGAGTTAAGGTCCATAAACTGTGGACATACTGTTAATCTCACATTGGTTAGGTTCCAGGCACCCTAGGTCCACACTTGTCTGCTTGCTAAAATGTGTTGCTTATCCTTAATACAAAGGTAAGAAAAAGGGTAGGGAGAGGAGAGAAAGATGGACGTCTTTGAAAGCCCTCATATTCGTCAACTTGTGAACATATTTACACATATATTCAAATATGAGAGAGAAGTGGTTTAAAATGAGGCTCTTTGTACAGAGCTAAATGCTTTTGATTAGGACTGGTATGAAACCAGGCTTCTGTTGGCTGACTAGTTTTTCTGTGGACATTCTTTTAGGAGGAGTTACTTGCAGACCTTCATGGGACAGTTGCCTTTAAGGATTTCATTGTAAGCAGGGGCTACAGGATGCCAAGTGTGAGTAAAGGGTCATTTCAGAAGGCTCTGCTGAGGGGCTTTGAGGCTCACAGGCATTGATGGGAAAGGGTCAGTACCCTGACAAAATCAGAATACTCTGATAGGCAGACACCAACACTCAGGTCCCTGGGAGAAAGGGCATGCTTTTCCCCAGACGGGGAACCAGAGATGGGACATGGCATTTTGTGATTTTTAGTCTGCCTGTTTGGTTTCTGCTCCTGTCAGAGACAGTATCCCTGTACCCTGCTGATTCTTGCCTCTGCTTCCTTGGGTTTAGCCAAAATGAAAGGGGTCTATGTGCAGAGTGTATGCCTTGCAAATTCTGCCTGTAACTAAAACACTCTGGATTCTCTAGGAAGTCTTCACGTCTCCTTTACTTCCACGTCTAAGGACAAAGAGCTGTGGCTTGGCTCAGGACAAGATAGAGTTAGGATGTGCAGTTTTATCATTGTACTTGAACTCTGCCTCAAGTGGAAACAAACTAGGGCAAAAGTTCACTTCCTGGGGGTGCTGCCAGTGTCTTCTGTCTTTTTCCCCTTTCTTCTCTGCCTTCTGATTTCCACTCCTTTAACTTGTAAAGCTGGCCCCAGCTGCTTCCCACATGGAGTGACTGCCCCCTTGGAAGGACATGGGCAATGGGGTGGGGAGGGAGGTTGGCAGAGTGGACCCTTTAGCAGGAGGGCCCGCAGCCTGGAGCTGAGTGCTTAGATCAGCCCTGCCACTGCAGCGGGGAACCAGATAGGCATTTGGGCCAGTCATGGCTAATAATACGTCATGCACATGTCCACTGTCCACTGTGTGCACATCCCTCAGGGTCTTTAGGGGGCAGTGCAGCCAAGATGGTCAGAAGTTCCTGGAAACAGGAGACTGGATTTCTGTTTTTTCAAGAGTGGTAGAACTAACAGTAGCTTATACTTACTGACAAATGAATGTGTTGACCAAGCTCAGAGCCAGACAGGTTTCAAAGTGAAATCAGGCAAGACTAGAGCATGAGGTGGAGATATGGGATTAGAAGACTCCATTACAGAACTGGGATGGAGTCTCTCATTTAGCTTTGAGCATCAATAATAGGCCTGTTAGATATATTTAATATACAAATTTATACACTTATAATAACTGCCTGATCTGTATGTAAGGTTCACATAAATATATTTATATTCATACATATTTATGTATAATATATAAAATATTTTTATATAATATATTTTAATATTATAACTTAATTATAGGTATGATTATGTCTTTATAATCATATATATAAATATATAATTATGTGATATTGTGTGTGTGTGTGTGTATATATATATATATATATATATATATATATATATATATTCTTATTTGTTCTTGATGTTATTGTGACTCATTTTTCTACTTTAACATTTTTAGTGGCAAAACATACCTCTTTTTCATTTTGATTTGTCCCTGGGGTTTAATCCGTTGTTGATGAACATTTAGTTCAATTTTGGGTGAAAAGACACATGCCTAACACAGTGGCTATCCTCTTTTCAGCCACATTAACTAAAGAGAGGTGATGTCCCTGGCTACAGCTGAGTTCTCTGAGAACACCTGTCACTCAAACCCTGCAGTATTTTGTCCCTTGATTCTTATATCCCATATTCTCTATTTTGTCAATAAAATTTCAATTAAAAAGAGCAGGGAATCTATTATAGTATATGAGATACAATGCACACACACAGAGTATATATATACTGTCATAACTTAAATTTAAATGTGAACATTCATTCTCCATTTTTACTCCCATAATGTATGTGCGCAGTGTGTATATATACATTCATATATGTTACATGAGCAAATCTTATATACACATTCCAGTATCTGCTGCTGGATTATCTACTTTATGCATGACCCACAGCTTGCCCTGTGCTGCACAGCTGGATCCCAGGTCTTTAACAGGAGGGATGGGCAGCACAAGGCTATGCTTGGCTGGACTGGGCTGGGCAGGGCTGGGTTTGGGCACAGAACAAGTGTGAATATGATCTGAGTGCTTCTGATGCTATGCAGCTACCTTCCAAAGACTGACATCTACCATGGGCGAATGATCGACGTGTGACTTTGTGTAGTGTAAGGGTATATGTCAGAGTGTGAGGTTTTGAATTTGGGGATGGTAGTGGTTGTGGGGAGGATTGTACTATCAGTTTTTGTTTGTCAGTCTAATGAAGGTTTTTTTTTCTCTCTCTTTTTTCAGTTCCTCGAGAAGATGTATGTTGGGAAGGAATATAAAAAGACTCCTATAAAACTAACTCAAGCATAGAAGAATCTTGGGAAGATGATTGGGTAAATTTTAATGGCCACTTACTTGACTACTTCTCTCTCTCATTTTAAACATTAAACAGAATTTATAATGTTTATAATTTATAATCCCACTGTTGATGTACAACTTCAATTCGGGAACATCCGTAAATGTCATACCTAATACTTATAAACATTTTTAATGGCCTTCTGCTTCATTTAATCAATATTTTATGTATTACCACTATGAGATGAATATTCATATATAGTCTCACATTTCTGTAGTATTGTTAATATTACATTGGTATATCAGTTATTTGTAAAAAGGAATAAAACCATAAGTAAAAGCAGAATTACTCTATTGCATTTCCCTAGGTATTATTTTCCCTGGTTTTGAGTAAATACTGCCTTTCCTTTTTCTTTACAATATTATTTACTTTCATTTTGAATTAAGCTTACTGAGATATTTTCCCCTTTTTAGTCATGTTAATCTTGATAATAAATTTGTACCTATAACAAAAGGTTATAGATGAGAAAATTTAATGAAAACTCAAAATGACATATATATTTTAATTACTTTTTAAAAATAATTATTTATTTAAAATGTTAGTGCTCATGTTAGGAAAATCAGAAAATATGGACTAGCAAAAAGAACACAGAAAATAACAATAATTCCTATAGAGTCAGTAATAATCACTTTTCACTCACTGGAATGTATCCTTCTAGATCTTTCTATAAAACCCATTCTGGAGGGCCGGCCCGTGGCTCACTCGGGAGAGTGCGGTGCTGATAACACCAAGGCCACGGGTTCGGATCCCATATAGGGATGGCCGGTTCGCTCACTGGCTGAGCGTGGTGCTGACAACGCCAAGTCGAGGGTTAAGATCCCCTTACCGGTCATCTTTACAAAAAAAAAAAAAAACCCATTCTGGAGGGCCGGCCCGTGGCTCACTCGGGAGAGTGCGGTGCTGATAACACCAAGGCCACGGGTTCGGATCCCATATAGGGATGGCCGGTTCGCTCACTGGCTGAGCGTGGTGCTGACAACGCCAAGTCGAGGGTTAAGATCCCCTTACCGGTCATCTTTAAAAAAAAAAAAAAAAAAAAAAAAAAACCCATTCTGGATAATTTATAAATTACCCAGAAAATTTATAATAAATCTCTTATTTATAAATTAAATGCCTAATTTATAAATTAACCTTATCTGGAAATAAATTAGGCATAGTAAGAGATTAACAGCAATAATTAATAGTAAAATAGAAGAATTATAACAACATACTGTAACAAAAGTATGTGAATGTTTATTTCTGGAATTTTCCATTTGATTTTTTTGGACTGTGGTTGACTGCAGGTAATTGAAACCGCAGAAAGTAAAACCACAGATATTGGGGTGGCTACTGTATATGGCATTTTCAGCTTCTACAGTGAGAGGGGACTCTATCTCGGAGGTTAGGGAGTTCCGATGCCTCTTAGGATATGGAGTTCACATGACTAGCCCAATGTCAATATAGACAAACAAAAAACCGTCCTCTAATTAAAGCAACCACCCTTTCTATAGATGATCTTCTCAAAAGGGATCAATTCAAAGTTCTATCACTCACTGCATCTGCCTTCAAATACAAAATCTCTGGGAGATGGCTTTACATCCCCTGGGTCTGTCATGATCCAATCCCCATCTGTGTGCTGAACTGACTACATGGTTAATTTGATCACCAGTAGCACACTCTTAGTAGGGAAAGAGACAAGAAGAGGAAACTTTTTTCCTCTTGACATGGCAAGAAAGAAAATGCAGATAGATGCAACAACAATATCCATTTCTACAACTGGTCAGGAGGCCATTGTTGCTATACTTGTATAATCCCCTTGTCCACCTCCCATTCCACATTCTTTTTGCTTTAGCCAGTCTCTTAGCTGGTAGGAATTATTCACTCAATAGAGTGACCTAAATCTTTATTCTCAAAGGATCTGAGCCTTGGCGGTCCTGACATGGCAACGCTAGAAATGGCAACACTAGGTGGGACTCCAGGGGTTCCCCTGGTTTCCAGAATACTTCTCCATAACTGTACCGTAACTCAGTTTTTGCATGTTCATGATGATTCATTATTCCCCAACACCATACAGTTCTCTTTCTAGTTCTTCAAGGAGCATGAGGAGTCAAAAATGAGCAGGTGCAGTCAGTCTCGGCTTTCAATTCAACGGCACTGTCATCGCTACAGCTGGAAGTCTTCTCCCGAGCTTTAAAATCACCAGAGCCCAGTCATGGGGCTAAGAAGTAACCATTTTGCAAGTGATTCTGAAAGAGGCGCTCTTCCTGACACTCGCCACCTCTCGGTTCTCAGACCTACGTTACCATGGCTATGGGAGAAAGAGCATATGTTGGTTGCTGGTTCATAGTAAATACTGCATCTTGAGCAGTATTGTCTCCCAGTTGGTGCTGTGAACGAGTCTCTACTATACCTCCATGAGGCCAGACACTTGGGTGATGGAGGACATAATAGAAGGAGTAAGCCCCATAGTGTCAGCCCATTGCTTTATCACTTCTGCTAAAAAATTAGTTTCTAGTAAGAACTAATGTAGAGTGGAATACCATGGTGAATAAGCATTCAGTAAGTCTGTGAATATTGGCATGGGCAGAAGTTTGTTAAACAGGGTCAGCAAATCCAAATCCAGAATAAGTTGCTATTTCAGTAAAGATAAATTAGTACTTCATGATGACAGAAGAGATCTGTGGCATTCTAAGAACTAACTCACTCAACAACCATTATGACATCCTATTAGATTGTCTTCCTGCTGTAGAGGCTGGAAAACTAAAGGCGATTTCCCAGATGTTTGATATCTTGATGTTTCAACTCATCAGAAAGCCGACATGGTTGGAAGCCCAAGGGAGCGCCAAAGGGAGAGATGACGCTCTGCAAGCCAGTGGAGGAGGCACCCAGCTGTACTGGCCACTGGGACAGGCTTCTGGCAGTCGGGTGTTGAGCAGCAGGTGGTGTTGGCAGTGGTGGTCTGGACAGACTCCATTTCTTCCCCTGGCTGCATTGTTCCTGGCTTTATTACATTCAAGCCCAATTCATATCAGGGTCTCAAGTTTGGTTTTGATTGCTGGACAACTAAATATTCAATGGAAGCAGTAGCCAGATCAGCTTTGGTGAGGGGAAGTCCAAGTTGCTGAACCCATGCATAGCATGCATTTCTGCCACTGTGTCCACTTTGTTCATGAGATCATTGGACAACACTGCAGTGCCTGGAGAAACAAGTGGGCTGACATGCAGAGAGTAGCTCAGGCTTTTCACCTGGTTATTGAGCATTTCCTCTACAGTGGAGGCCTCTTGGTGAGCATTCACAACCAAATATCCTCATACTCTGGATCCATTCTGAGAGATCTCCTGTAACCCTCTTTCTCTAAGCATCCTTGTCACCAGCTCTGCAGTCTTGATCCTTCCAAGTCTTTGGCTGCTGAGCTAAACCATCAGCCACTCACTGTCAATTGGTGATATCTGCACCTCAGGTCATTTCTCCTTTTAGACAAAGTGGTCAACAGGATGAAATGCCTGAAGTTTTGCCTACCGGAAAATTCCTCTTCCCTGTTGGTCTTTGGGGAGACTTGAGTTGGGCTGTAAAGTTGTGGCAGTTCACTTGTGGCTGATGCTATCATATTGTGCTCATTGTCTGTTCAGTCACCTGGACTTAGAGGACATCCCATGAGGTTAGAGGCATGGGCTGAGGAAGAAATGGTGGTTTGGTAGGAGTGGGCATGCCATGAAATGTCTTGTCTTCAATGTCTGCTCTAGCCCATTCCTATTTAGAAAACTTCCACTTGATCATGAGAAGCAACAGTTTGGTAACTAAACATGCTTGCTGTGGAGCCAGGAGGCCTGGATTCCAGCCAAGTTCTGCCACTTACTAGCTGTATGACTATGGGCAAATTACCTATCTCCGCTTGCTTCAGTTTTCTCATCTAAAATAGGGATGATCACAATAATAACAGTGCTATCTCCCAGGAATGTGGTGAGGATTAAAGGAAATGATAAAGAGCTTAGAGGAGAGCCGGGCACCTCATGCACACACTAAATGTTAGCTGACTTCATGACTTGGTGGATCAGATTACTCCTGGTTTAGGATAGACATCAGTCACATGGCTACCTAATATCTCATGACCCAGCTGCTGTATTAACTAGTGCCCAGCAACAGCCATGATTTGTTTCTCAAAAGGAGGACAGTTATATGCCACAGAGTTCATGGCTTGGCTGCAAAATCCTGAGGGCCTGTGCCGTGATTCCTTTTTCTAGATGTGCCAAAGCTCCATTCAGCAGCCATATCTGCCACCAGTGCTTCAAGCACGTTGGATCCACTAGATCAGAGGGCAGAGCTTTCTGGACCAGCTAGAAAGCCTTCTCTTGCTGCAGGCCGCATTCAAAGCTGGCAACATCTCAGGTTACTAAAGAAATGAACTGAAACAGCATGTCTAAATCTGGCCTCCAAAATCCAAAGAGAAGTGTAAGTAGCATACCATTATATAGTATTTCCAACAGCCAGATATAACAGATGTAAATAACCCGAGAGCATAGATAATAATAAAAAATCATTGAATAGCTAGGAAGTGGTGAGTTTTTGAGTTTTTATTACCTTTGTTTTTTATATCACTTTTAACTGTAAGTATGTATATTTAAGTTTTAATAATGGTTGTGTTTACCAATAAGCTCACCAAATTCCTGAACATTTGTTAAGTGGTTTTCATGAGCTGGTACCACCTGCCTCTAACACATTATCGATTGTAGGATCCAAGGCAATGAGGGGTTTTAAGTGAAGAGCGAAGAGAACTGATTTTCCTAACCTCCTGCAAGGTTATTTCCGTAAAGAAGGTCATTACAGCGTATTCGTGAGAGAGAGGGAAGGTCCCATCACACAGAGGAGTAGGGAGGATTCCTCTGATGAGGAAGGCTTCATTATCTCAGGTGTGCCAAGAAGCAGACAGCAAGATGGGATTAGATGTTCATGAACTTTACTAGGGGAAGGAAGAGAGAAAGATAGGGAGGCTTGGAGACTGTGATGCATGTCTGATCTCTGTGGAAGGGAAAAGGGAAGGAAAGTGGATGGGGGTGAGAAGAATCTCGGACTGCAGCACAATTCAAGTAAAGGTTCTGCCACCCAATGGGAAGTCCTCAAGTTGCAGTTGCCCATGGGCTGAGTCTCACATCTTGCAGGAATGGCTGTGCCTCGGTCCTCCTGCCATGCTCGGTCAGTGGCTGGGAGTAGCCCATGGGAAGCAGGGCCTCAGCTAAGCCGCTCCTGATTCCTGACGCACAAAAACTACTATGAGGTTTGTTGTTTTAAGCTGTTAAGTTTAGGGATT